AAAGAAGATAGAAAGATAGAAATTGTAGAAGAAACTATAAAATGTATAAGATATAATTGCCTAATACATTTTGATAGTAAGTTCTTGACAGCCATTTATACTAGGGAGGTTATACACATTCAGCATGGAGGATTTTTCTCAACTGCTGAGAGATTTTCTCAACTGCCTTGAAGAAATCTTATCTGCTTCTCAACTGCTGAGAGATTTCCTCAACTGCCTTGAGGAAATCTTATCTGCTTATCAATAATAGCATTAAACTTTCAAATGATTTTATTTTTGGCCTCTTATATTTTTTTCTCTTATTTTTGTTTTGGACTTTGATCTTTTTTATTATTTCTTCCTTTTCCTCCTTAGTTATATCTTCTGTCATAACAATAGCCTTTTTCATATTCTCAGCCTCTTCACAACTATGATTACTTTAGCTTTCATTTCTTGTTTTTTAAGTGTGACAAGAACTTATTCTACTATATATGGTTTCTTCTTATTAATTAAATATTCATATGTTTGTAAAGAATTTATTAGCTTATCAATAGTTATTTGCCCTAAATCCTTTGATTCTTGGATAGTGATTGAAGTACATTTTCAATCACATAAATATCTTATAGATTCTCACTATTTCTTTTTAGTTGATTGACAATGGTAAAAACTCTTATAAATAATTTAAGATAACTTTGTACTCATTCAATTGCAATATTTGAAATTCAACTCTTAATGATTGGAGTAAAATACTTTTCACATTCTCAACTCCTTGAAGAATCTCCTAAGTAACTTTGGAAGTGTTGGTGGTTATAACTTTTTTAATTTTATATTCGTGGAACCTTTGGTAGATGAGGAGGAGTGTCTTCTTGTTTCTTTACTTTATGTCATTCAAGAAATCTCTTTGGCTCACTATAAGATTGACATCATCATGAGGCTCCTCATAGCCTCTCTCTAGCATCCCACCGTATGTCTTATGATCTAAACATGATCTTTATTGGAATGCTTTAATTTTTATAATTATCTTTTGTAACACGAGGCACTTGAAGTTATATATTATTAGTCATTTTGACTTGGGATACAACATTAAAGGGGAAAAAAAAAGAGATTGAGAGAGTTGAGAAGAAAAATTGAGAGATGAAATAAAAGGTAAATTAAAATTTTTATTTCTCGTAGATAAGTCTCTACACTTTTTTCTTTCTCACTATTTTTCCCATGATGAAAATTTGTAGGGTCATAGATGAAAATTATAAGGCTAAATTGTAAAGGCTACATTCATATACTTTTATTGTATATAACATATTTAATTTACTAGTAGTTTATTATTTTCAGAACCTCCTTCATGGTGATCTTTTGCATAACTTCCTTCTCCATTCTTACTAAATTCTAGATATTATAATAGTTTCAATCATCTCTTTTAAGTAAGTTTAATTTTCTTAATATTTACTAGAAGCTAAGGACGAGAAGGCACATAGAGAGATTCTTCAAGATCCCCGAATAGAGCAAGCAGGGGAGTAGACCGAAGAAGGGGTAAGCCCACGAGGAGACCCATAGGAGCAGTCGACTCAAGCGAAGGCAAATATATCATGATTCGATAGCAAATCCTCTTCAATTGTACTTCGAATTATAATCATCCAATACCATTTTAAAACATCGTATCATATGTGAGCGATTCGATCAAGACTCAAAAATATTATAAGCAACTTGATATCTTGATATCATTCAATTGATATCGAACCACGATTTGATAGTTCCAACCGGTAAATAAATAAATATAAATACATAAATATATTATTTATTTATTTTTATATTTATATATGAGGGCGTAACATATAATTTCACCAGTACGAATCTTTTCTTATTATGGAATCATATCTTTTCTCAACATCATTATCATTATATTTATATGGTCGATGAAAGCACAGTTTTTATTAGATATATATCCCAACTCAAAGTCTCTTCTGTGCCAAAGAGAGGGAATGGGTATAGGAAATGGGCTTTCAACCCATTGGGGGCCCGAACCCCAGTGGGCCTTTCGGGTTCGAGTCCATCACAGAGCTGAGGCCTAGTTGAGTCGACGGCGAGCTATACGGGGTTCAGAAGGAAGGGTTAAAGTCGGACCAGATCGTCTCTCGTCGGAACGCTTCAGCACTCGGACCCATAGGCTCGCGGCGGAGGGAGGATCCATCTGCTCCTCTTGTGCCCAAACATCAACATCCGGACGTCACTGCAGCCCCGCCCTTGTTGATTTTTCAGGTTTTCGTTCCTTCTCGCCCTAGTTGTTTCTCTATCGTATGCACTCATCTCCAGATTTAACATTTGAGGTCTGAGACTTGTTCTGGTTTCTGTGAAATCTTGGCGAGCGTCTGCGGGAGATGTCCAAGTTCGACACTTTTGGAGGTAATAGGGACGTGATCTTTTGGACGAAAAGTGAGTGTGGGCATCGGAATGAGATAAGGAGTTTGAGACGGAGAGTTTGGGGACTGCAAAAAACAGAGAGAGAGAATAGGGAGGAGGAGATAAGGAGGGTGGCGTCGGAGGGGTTGGCGTTTGTTAGAGTCACTGTCGTGTGGCGACACCACGTGAAGCAACGCCGCCACGTCTTACGTGCTCACCATCCCTCCTGCCCAATTCCTACCTTGCGGGGCCCAGATAGGATGTTACGTCGGATTGAATACATCACTTCATTGTATACCACCTATACCTTAACAATATAAAGGAGGACTATATGCTCAAGCAAGGAGTGGGAAAAGATGGTAGAAATATCAGGAGGTATCTTATTAATATTCTCGGTTTTACTAAATAAATAATTTTTTTTTAGAATTTATAATGTGATTCATGTTTAATGTCTATCAGGGCTCCGAATAAAAAAGAAAAAAAAAACGTGCTGAATATGCCAATGAAGAAGAAGAAATTGTAAGTATCTGTGTCTTTTCCAGCGACGTCGAAATTTCTTTTTCCTTTTTTGTGACTCTGTTTCGCATCCGTCCTTTTCTCCGGAATGGCAACAATGTCCGGCAGACTAACATTAGCCGTCCATTTGGGTTTCTACGAATCAGAACCACCCATCTCCGAGGTAGGAAAGGTATATACGCATCGTGTTCAGCGTCGTCGACCCTCTCCGTCTTCTCTACCTCGGTCCATTGCCTCGTTAGATATTTTCCATCTCCTTGTCCATTTGCGCGTCAAAGTCCGAGCAACACAAGACTCATAGCTTCTCACGGCGTCCGCGTTGAAGGCGGGTGCCGTGAGGAGTACTAACGGAGAAGACACAATGGAGCTACGCTAGGTCACGTGAGGGGCACGTGTTTTGATCAGATAAATACACCTATATGAATTTTCTCTGTCCTCGATATTTTCTTATTATTTTTATTCCTATATGGGGATAGAGGGAAAACCTTGTGTGGTGTGTATATATGAGAAGGTGTGTCAGAAGATATGCTTAGGGAGGAAAGAAGAGTGAGGCGAGGCGGTGCAGGTCTTCTTCCTGTTCTGGTGTTCTGCAGCGTTAGAAGAAGGGTCGAGTGAGGGACGTATGACCTTTTAGACACCCCCTTCACGGGCTCTTCGAGAGGAGATGGGGATTTGGCCGTGAGCCTCTGCCTGTTATTTTATCAAATACTTGTCAAGCTTTTCGCAGCCTTCTGTTTGACCAATTGGGTTTGGGGAGGAGAAGGAGGAGGAGGTGGTGGTGGTGGTGTTTGGGCTTGGGGGAGGATGGGAGTTCAGGTCGGCGGGACGTGCTTGCAGTGGCCGCAGCTGTCGCCCACCAACTCCACGGCTCTCTCCCAGGCCGCCTTCGCTGCCTTGGTTTCTAGTCTCGGGTGCAGCCAGAGGACCCGTGGCTGCGACCGCGCCCTCGCCTCGCCCTTCCTCGGGTCCGGCACTGCCAAGCTGTTGAAGTCCAGATCGCTCAAGGTTCGCAGAGGGAGAGGAAGGCGAAGCGTTGATCAAGCCTTGCGCCGAGCCTTCAGCGCCAGCCTTGACCGCTTTGCGACTGGTGATGATGAGGAGGAGGAGGAGGATGAGGAGTTCGTGCTGAGGCTTGAGGAATTGGCCCTCGAGCTCCAGCGGCAACAGGGAGACGGCAGCGAGGAGGTGACCGTTTCAGAGTCGTGGAGGAGTGGAGGAGGTGAGGCCTTGTCTTCCTCTGCGTCGTTTTGCTCTGATTCGAGCCCGGCGCCTTCTCCTTTGCCCTTGACGAGCAAGCAAGAGCCGTCGACCGAGGCACCGTGGGTCCCGGTCCGGCCGGAACCGCCGGAGTGGCCCGACCAGATCGTGCCGGCGAGCGTGGAGAAGAACGCGAACAGCGTGGAGCTACCGCTCTCGCTCCGGATCATAAAGCGGAAGAAGCGGTGGGAGGACGGTTGGCTCCGGGAGGCGGGCGAGTCAGCCTGCTGCTCCGTCAAGCGGGCCTTCTCGTCCATGGTGTTCATGATCCGGGAGATCCAGAGCTACACTCTCCAGATGCGGGAGGTGATCTTCCGCGAGGATCTCCAGGGGATCCTGTCGCGGGTACAACGGGAGATGAACTCCTCCTTCGTCTGGCTCTTTCAGCAGGTCTTCTCGTGCACCCCGACCCTCATGGTCTCTGTCATGCTCCTCTTAGCCAACTTCACTGTCTTCTCCATGGGCCACCTCGAGGCCGCAGCCATGGCCGCGCCCAACCCGCCGACCCAGTCGATGGTTGAGACCATCGTAGCGGAAGACCATCGCCAGACCCATCACAACTTCTCCATCAAGAAATTCTCCTCCACTGGGAGGACCGCTTCCATCGGAGGTGGCGGTGGGGGGAAGGCGAAGCCGGTGGCCGGCGCCACCGGCGACGGGCGGTCGGATGACAGGTCCCTCTCGTACAGGACGATTCTCCCCGACGGCGTTTCGACAGCGCCAGGGGCGACGAACACCGAGGAGGGAAAAGGAGCAAGTGGCGAGGGCGAGTCGGAAGCGGTTGCGGGGGCAGAAGTGCAGCAGGAAGAGGAGGCGAGGCTCTGGAAGGCGATACTGGAAGAGGCGTCGAAGACGCAAGCGAGGGACGAGGCGTTGATGGACCCGGAGACGCTACGCCGCTTCGTCTCGCCCGTGACGGTCGTGCTGGAGCCCGACGACCTCGCGGACTACCTGCGGATGGAGATAATGTACCATCAAGCCCTGTCGCAGGACCCGGAGAACACTCTTCTCCTCGCCAACTTCGCTCAATTCCTCTATCTCGTCCTCCACGATCACGACAGGTAACTTGATCTCATTCTTACGTACTAATTACTCCTTTTGTGATCCCCGCAAACTGTTCGACTATTTGCACTCACAGAAGGCAGTTTTTTAATCCTTATGAGGCAACTGTTTGTCTTAATGACTAAGAGAAGATGATACGAAGGAGATTACATTGGACTAAAATAATGTGTTGGGCGACGGCCATGTGACAGGGCGGAACACTACTACAAGAGGGCGGCGGGGACGGAGCCGAAGGACGCGGAGGCATTGAGTCGCTACGCGAGCTTCCTGTGGCTGGCGAGGAAGGATCTGGTGGCAGCGGAGGAGACCTACCTGGAAGCCATCGCCGCGGATCCCGGCAACGCCGTCCACGCCGCCAACTACGCCCATTTCTTGTGGAGTACCGGCGGCGAGGACACTTGCTATCCCCTGGAGGGCGACGGTGCATGGCGGTAGCAAACACAAGCTAAAAGCAAATAAGAAACAAAACCAACAGTACATATTTGAGGGAAAAAGACAAAAGTCGGGCTACAGTGGCGATACAACACTACATATTTATATATATATTATCACTAGGGAGGTATTTGGTGTCAGAAAAAGGATGAACGGACGGAGGAATTGGCCTTTTGGTGGGGCAGAAGGACTGGTCTTTTGAGAGTAGTGTCTGTTAAAATGGGGTTGGGCCACCCATTGTGTGGGATCTGCTCCCTTGCTTGATGTGTGGTATAGTTTTGGCAAACTGCATTATGTTATTGGTTTATGGACTAAATCTGAGGCTTAGCTAAGTCCAAGAACTTCGAAAGCAGAGTCGAAGGACTTGGCTGTCATGTTTAGCTTCTCTCTCAGGTCATGGCTGCGTACACGACTCTAAAAGACTATGCAGTGCGCGTGTGAGTGCAAAAGCTGCATCTTCTTGACATCCATCCCTACAGAAGGACGTCGTATCGTAAAGAAATCAACAGTCTGGTTGAAGGTTTTGGAAGGCAGAAGAGAGGGGGAGCTTATGCGGCCGATGGACTTAACAGAGAACTCTTCATGCGACCGACTCTTTACAGTAACTTTGGGTTGAGGACAGCTGATGGAAGTACTATATCAACACCCTTTGTGAGTGAAGGTTAGCACCTCTCGCCGCGCACACATCACGAAGCCGACTGTTTGCAATGAGTGCTTGATGACCTACTGACTGTATTTATCGAGCAATCAAGCACATCCTTATTTGTAAAATAATTTGATTGATTGAGATAATATATATTTATATAAATTATAAGAAACGATTTTTTAATCATATATTCAAATATGCATTCAAATTATATATTTAAATATGTAATTATCCTCAAATCATATATTGATTAAGGATTAGAGTATATAGGTATAAAATATTATAATTTGATATTTATTTATATTATAATTTTTTATCATGCTCATGTAAGATTAAGTTTTTAGTAAGAATGTCAATATTGGACCGATGCAACTGAAATATCATGTGGATGAAAGACTTCGAGAGGGAGTCTGCTAATAATATTATAAGTTGATGTATGATAACTTGATCTTTAATAAAGTGGAAGTCGATGACAATGTGTTTCATGCATGAATGAAATATCGAGTTGACGCATAAGTAGATGACACCGACATTATCATAGTATATTGTAGGAGTAAATCGGGAGGTGATGCCAAATTCGTACAATAGATTAGTGACCTAGTTCAGTTCTACAGTGGTAGTAGGGATAGCTCGGTATTCAGCTTTAGTGGTAGATCTTATGATTTTATTCTATTTCTTAGAACCCCAACTAATCATATTTACTTCAAGAAAAATAATATAGGCTGATGTAGATGCTCCATCATTAGTATTGTTTGCCTAATCAACATCCGCGAAAGCATGAAGATGAAGTGATGAGTATTTATGAAAAAGAAATCTATAATTGAGAGTATGCTTAAGATATCGTAGATATGTTTTAGTGTAGACCATTGTGTAGTAGAGGGTTGATACATAAATTATTATAATTTATTGACTTCAAACAAAATATCTGAATGCGTGAGAGATAAATACAACAAGGAATCAAGTACTTATCGGTACTCTGTGATATTCATAACAAGGTTGCCATCATATAATTTAAGTGACTCAATAATGGAAAGTGGGATGACGGCTTCTTTGGCATTCTATACATTTATATTTGATAATAGATCTCAAATGTATTTTTTTTTAGATAGAAAAAATTTAGATGTGAATGTTACTTTCACTCCAAAAAAGTAGCTTAAGGTTCTTGGGTCTTTAATAAAGAATTAATCTGTTAATTACTTAAAAAATTATTTGATCTTTATAGAATTATTGCTTATGATGATAATGTCATATACATAGACCAATAGATATATTGTATATCTCTTTTGTTATCGTACGAATAAAGAGGTACCAAACTTGGAGTTAATAAAGCCGATTAACAAAAAAAAAATGAGCCAAGTTTGATATACCGAGCTCTTGAAGCTTGGCGAAGTCCATAAATAGTTTTTCATAGTTTACATGTTTAGATATTGATGATAAATGAAGCCAGTGGGTTACTGTATAAAGACATCTTTAGTTACGATCTCCTATAAGAAAGTATTAATAATATCTAATTGTCATATATATCAATGATAACCAAACTTAAGATGAGCCAAGTTGGTATATTGGGTTCTTAGAGTTTAGCAAAGTCATTGGAATAATTCTCATAATATTTGGATCTTTTCTAGTAGACAACTAATATATCGAGTTCTTAGAGTCATCGATATAGCCTAACAAATCATATCAAAAGAAGAGATTAGCGAATTGTGCCTACCAAGGTGTATAGTCATCACCTTTGGAAAACTTGAAAGGGATCAAAGTTACTATGTTGATAGATATAAGTCTCATAGGTTGAGATGAATTATTGTTTCATGAGGAAACAATAATTGGAGCGTTAGACATAAAGGAGGAAGACATGTTGAGAATATACTATGGTCTAATAAGGAAAATCCAAAACCAACCGATGATCTAATTTGGACGCATAGATAGTGGAGATATGATCTATTGGAGAATATCAGATTTGAGAAGTGCAAAGGGGAGGATCTGATCTGATAGAGGAGATCAGATCTGATAATTATGCAAAGGAAGAACTAATATGAGATATGAAGTAAAGGGTGATCTCTTCCTTCCTCTCCTTAGTTCTCTTGACCGCAAGTGCTGACGTCATATTGGAGAGGATGGTAGGCAACAATAGACTATCGCTGAGAGGTCGACCTTAGATCCGAGATGCTAGTGAGTTCGACAATAAACAAGAAAGGGATGAGGATGCTGGTGAAGACGTTGGGTAGTAGATAGGAGCAAAGGGAACGCTCACCATGCAGAACTACACAGTGATGAAAGATCATCAAAATAAATCTAATATAAATGAATCACGCTAGGAGATTAGCAGGGAGGAGTCACACATCATCATCTTCGATACAATGCAAGAATATGAAAGTGAGAAGCAGAAAGCAAAAGTCGTAAAGTAGCAATAGAGAGGGCGAGAAAGAAAAATAACAATCATAAATAAATTAGCAGGGTAAGGAGAAAGAGGGAGTCTTGCTTGAAGCAAGAAAGTTTTATTGTAAAGGGAATGATTTTATTCATTAAGGCAATACATATTTATCCAGTTGTGAGGGAAAGAATATCTTCAATCATATAATCAAATCATACACTCAAATTTATGTTTAATCCTTAAATCATAGATTAATTAAATATCAAAATATATATATATATAAATTAAATTTATTATTTTATATTTTTCTCCATCATATTCTTGTAGGAACAATCTAGCCTGATAGCGTTCAGAGTCTATTCACTTCCACACTGCTTTGAGCACAGCCAGTCGCGTCCTGCCACTAAGAACATCCAGATGCATGATGAAGCAAAGCAATTGGTGGGAACTCCACATGGATTTGGAGTCTAGCGCATATCCACACCTCGATCATCTGAGAATATAACTCCAAGTCTCGATCATCACAAGAGTCGTTCGCTAGAGGAGAAACGCAATCGAGCAACCAGCATCTGCCCACAAGCAAAACTCCCAAGCTGATGTTATAGACGAGTTCATGGGCCCTGATCGAGTACCTTCCTCAGTGTTCCTGAAGTGCCTTCCCCTCTTGCAGTCGGTAGAACTCTTGACCTCTCAACGGAGACAGCAGGGAGTGGAACCTGCGCATGCTTTCGCTCGACTTTGGACCGAGCAAGCACATGGGCGAGTTTGTAACGTACGAGGCGTCCGATACGAGGCTTCGGGGGCCATGCAGATCATGACACGCCGATTTCGACAAGGTTGGCAAATCACTGGGACTCAAAAGCTCCATTGCTTCCTGCTTACATCTCTCGGGAAGAGGACAATAACCTACAGCAAAAAGGAGCATTCATTTCACTTTCTGCTGTCTAGTCCGTGACTTGTACAGTACATTACAAGAACACAGTGTAAGTTTTCTGGCCTCCCGTGGCATAGTAAACTGGAGTTTCTGAGAAGTGATCGATAAACCAAATGGCTTCTTGATGACCGGTTGTTCTCGGTGGATGCCGGATTCCTCCTGTACTTGGAGGTGGAAGACAAGTTCGTTGTCTTCAAACAAGGTGAGGATAAGAGTTGTTCTGAAGCACTTGGGTTTCTTGTCTTCTTCGAACAAACGAGGACATGATCATCCTATTAGTTTCACATTATCTTTGATCATATCACACTGTTACTGAAATCATCAAGTTTGACAACCGTGCTCGGCTTATCCAGATGACTGTGATATAACAGGAAGCATTCCCATTGGGAAAAGTTCTGTACCATTTGGATATCTATGAGAAGATGATACAGAAGAAAATGATGTGCCGTGACGTACGCTTCAAACTTGGTTTCCCGTCTTTCCACGTAGGTATTGGTCTCACTAGTCACTCCCGAGGGTGCTAATTTTCATTATTTAGAATATATATATTCTTTTGTGTTGATTTCCAATTGCACCAAAGGTTTTAGTTCAAGTAAATAAACAAGTAACCTTCTCCAAGAAATGCCTTACACCTTAGGGATGGTGACAGTGATTTAATGCGTCCAATTAACTATAGAAATGTCATCCATTGTGTTATATGAAGATTTTAATGATGTTTAGTAGTAGTTTTGACCCATGTATGTATGGTTATTCAAGATGTCTTTGAGGTATAAACGTCGAGCTTCCAAGAAGATTATCTGAAGTGTCCCTAGGGTGATAACGTTGAACTCTCAAAAAGGTTATTCGAAGTGTCATTTGTACAAAAAAAACCGAGGTTAGAAGAGGTTTCTTGAGGCGATCCCTATAACTCCTAACATGAGTTAAATAATTGTAATCACCAATGATAAATAATGACATCTTGACTATGTTAAAAATGAGGGAATAATATATTTTATAAAATATTCTTTAGGGGAATAATTTTTTTAATCATTTTTAATAATCTTGATTTAGTCTCTTTTTTACATTGGCAACAATGGTGGAGACAACCTATAACTGTCTATCTTGGATCGATATTCATTTGAGTAGATTGATGAGAACAACTTTTGTCTCCTTCTTCCATCTTAAACGCTACGTGAAGAATACATATCGGATGGTGGTTGATCAATAATATCCTTTCTATCATTTATCCCACTCAAAGGTATGCTTTGGGGGTTTTCTAGTGAGGGTCTTGAAGCATAATATCTGGCCCATCTAACACATTGGTCTTACACTCCTTTGATCACTTCTTTGAGGGGTAAGCGACAAGGGTAAAAATAACTCATAATTGTTTATCTTAGACCAATTTCTACGT